GATTTGTTCTAAATCCACTTATTTGCAAATAACATCATTTTATTCTTTTTAATGGATGGGTAAGATTCCATTGTGTGTAGGTGCCACATTTTGTTCATCTACTTATCTGTTGTAGGACATCTGGTCTATTTCCATAACTTGCTATATGAACATTGCATCAATGAATATGGATGTGTGTGTGTCTTTACTGTATCCTGCCCTATATCTGGTAGTATGCCCAAGAGTGATATGGCTGGGTCATAGGGAAGATCTATGTTTAAGTTTTTTGAGAAGCCTCCAGACTGCTCCAGAGTGATTGTACTACTTTACATTTATACCAACAGTGCAATAGGGTTCCTTCTTGCCTACGTCCCCACCAGCATTATAAGATTACAAGATTGAGTCTTTGGCAATAAGGTTTATAAGAATAAGGTTTATAAAAACTGTGTGTGTGTACTCACACATGCGTGCGCATCATGGGCACAATGCTATATTTACTACATGGACATGTATATGAACACACTACATGCACACAAACTCCAGTTTTTTTTTGCTACTAGCTAGAGCATCCTTAGCACTTAGCAAGTGAATTATCTCTTTTAGCCCCAGTTTTCACATATTCTTAATTCACAGAGCTTTTAATTCTCTTAATTATTAATTTCACGGGGGGGGGGTATCATAGGGCTTTAGTAAAGACTAAATTAAAAGATAATGAGTGACCTAGTCTAAAAGCAAAACTGTTATCACTTCAATTTAGAGAAAGGATTTGGGGCAAAATCTAGTCTCGATGCTGTTTTGCTTGTATTGTCCCGCTCCTAGTTTTCCAGTGAGGAGATATTGAGCTTAGCCAATGTGATTTCTGATCTCAAGGACTGGTTCTGTGGCAACTGTCATAATTCTAAACCGTATGTGTCTACTCAAGCAACTGAACATGACAGCTCTAACTAGGAATGATGGGAATATGAAATTGTGTGTGCCATTTGGTGAAAGAATAGTAGGCTGAGAAGTGGGAAGACAAGGACAAAGGGATGCAGAGTAAAGTGAAGCCATTAGAAGTCTAGACAGGAAGGGGACAATATCCAAGAACAGATTAACAAGTGTCAAATTCAAAGTAGATAAATGAACTTCATACAGTTCTAGCCAGGGAGCTCCTTATTCAGCGATGTGGCCAACAAAGCTGCTAGATGCATTGGACCTAGATGTAGGCAATATTCTGAGTCAGGTATAGCATGGGGCTGAGGATCACTAGCAAACTCTCAGGTTGGTGAAAGGTCTGAGGATTTATTATCCCAGAGAATCAGAATGCCAGGCAGATGACAAACAAGGGTTTCAAACATAAAACAAGTCAGAACAAAGGGTTTCTCAATACTGGCACAATACTTGGATTGAATGATTCTTTGCAGGGAAGGCTGTACAGTACATTGTAATATGTTTAGCTTTAGCCCTATCCACTAGATACATTGATATGGACTCTTCAAGTTGTGGCAATCACAGGTGTCTCCAGACATTGTCAAATGCCCTAATGCAGGAGAGTGGACAAACTACCCTCAGTTGACTACCCTCAGTGTGTTTATCACTGCTCCAATGGTTGAAACCAGGGTAAGCAAGTCCCAGTGATGAGTTAGTATAGAAGAGGCCAATGACTGGACATCATCCGTGACTGAAGTTTGGTCCAGTAAGACCAGTGTAGTGAGCATTCTTTGTAGATCCCTTTCCCTGTGTCATTTCTGTGAATGCTACTTTAGCCTTCTTGGCTGTGTGTGTGTGTGTGTGTGTGTGTGTGTGTGTGTGTACTTTTTCTACAACAATATTCCCTAAGGATTCTCCTAATTTCTTTGCCCCATGTATCCAGAATACCAGGATGCCTGAAGAGCCATTAGTCAATGATTATATGAGATAACGCTACCTAGAGAGTTCCTTAAACTTCCCCTGCTGCTCCTTTGCTAGGTTGGTTCCTTCCTCTTCCTTCACTCTTTTACTAGAGTATTCCAAGAATTTATCCTTACCAAATCACATGGACACAATGTTTCCATAATGTTTGCTTCTAGGAAACCCCTTAACTGAGGCAGGAAGGACAAAGTCCAAGTGTGAGAAGTAAGTTCAGAGAGCAGTTCAGAAGGCTAAGCATGAATGAGTCTGGCTTGAGGTCCCATTAATGTCTTTGCCCTGAGAGCTTGCAACTAAAGAGGTCTCAAAGCAGCTGAGGATGTTGAGACAAGTGTGGTTTCCACCACTGGACAAGGCTGAAAGCAAGCTTAAGAAAATAAAATACAAGGTCTTTAGATGGTATAAAAATAAAGGAACTGTTAAGGAAACAGATCTTTCAACAAATATAATTTGTTAATACAAATATCACTGCATAAGCCATCACAACTACAGGAGTCAAAAGTCCTCTGGGCTCTGCAGATGCTGTTACAGAGAACTGTATTTTCAGCTTGATTTCTATAACAGAAAAGATCCTTGCAAATGTATGTACTGACTGAGACCTTAGAGTGAAAGGTATCAGGAATGTGTGTGGCTTGATTTTCTATGATAAATCTATATATACATCATATGTACTCCAGAGCAATACCATGATTTCAGGAAGGACCAGATGTAAGAAATTTTGTATTAAAGATGGCTATGAAAAACCTAGTCCTCCATTTTTCACCGTGATACTATTCCTCTTAACAAGGATCAAACTTTGATGAGAAATTACTGTGTTTTTAAAGTTGTTATGATAAAAAAACAAATGTTTGAAAGAGTTTGACAAGTAATCATAAGAAACATAAAGGCAAATTAGTCTATGTAGGAAAGTAGTGTTTCAAAGAATAAATTATATGTCCTCTATTCAAAATGTATCATTTGCATTCATTTCCTTATTCTCTAAAGAAATCTACATTCTCACAGTAGCATGTTTAGACCAATTACAAGTAACAAGATTAAATTCTGAAACAGTAAAGCCTTTACAGAATACGTAGAAAGCATAAACTGATAGTCTTCAATTGAAGACTATTCTTAGACTAAGTGAAGTTCTCTAAAAGAACTGTAGGGATGAATTAATTTCAGTAAGAGTAACCCAGGAAATGGGGAATTAATGATGACAAAATCAAACACAGTAGATGTAACTCCACATACTGTAAGTGAATAACAGCAATTGTGTGCTTAACAATCTGAATCACAAACAAAACTTTGAATTATGAATAATACCTGAAAGGTGATTATTGCCATGAAGTGAGAAAGAAACAGTTTTCACATTTCTCAAGTGAGATTTCTTACGAATTTTTACAACATCTCTAAAGCATTTTCTTCATCATAGGAGCCCATGTTCTACACTATGAAAATGTATCAACTTGACCACATTAAAGTCGGTACCTGGATGGAAGGTGATTGAGCATAAATATGCTCTGGTCCTAGGACATAGATGACTGACATTCTTTTAGTGCTTTTTGGAGTGGTATAAAAAAAAAGCAAAATTGAAATAGTCCATGTGATACTGTGAACTTCTGTGAGTCTTTTTAGAGATTTGAATGTGATACATAAAGAGAAAGCACATTGGTAGGGTAGAGGCAGAAGCTGAAAACAGAAAGAGCAGCAGAGGCCATGAAGGAGCAACAGATGTGAGTATCCTGATGAGAATGAAGAAAAGTGGATGAGCTAGAAATTATGAAAGATGGTGAAACAATAGGACTTGATTCATCTCAGATGGAGAAGATAAAGGAATGGAGAGACTCAAGTTTATTAGTTTCCTGATTTATGCAACTGGATGGTGATATATTTCTTTGAGAAAGACAATGCAGAAACAGGATTGATTCCTTTGTGGAAGGAATATGAAATGTTAGTGAAATTTTTCAAGTGAAGATGTCCATAGGCAGTTTGGTGTATGTAGATCTAAGATGAGCATTTGGGAGTTCTGTTTGTGTCTAGGGCTTGATATTGATGACTTTTAGAAACAGATAGGTAAACTTTGTTTTGGTTTGTTCCCATAGAGCTAAATTTGGGAATATAATCAAGTGAGGCTTTTTTTAATCTAGGAAAGTTCAGCATAAATAATTTGTTCTTGTCTACATGTCCTCTAGACTGTAGCCACCATACTGTTATACAAGTGAGACTTGATGAGCTATCACAAATGATTTTAACTTTGCCTCACTTTTACTTGGCATGTCAGATCTAATGAAAGGTTTTAATTGGTTCCTTGAGCCTCAACACTGATATTAGTAGGACATTTATTCGTCCATTCAACAAATGTTTCTTGGTTACTTAACATATTCCACGTACTGTTTTTAGACCATGTAGTTTCACCTGGAAATGAAACACAAACCAAGCAAATAAATAAAAAGCCTTAACTTCCCTGTAAGTTTTCTTTTAGTTGGGGAGAGACTTTTAGGCCAGGCAGACAGGAGGAATTTTGTTTGACTTTGAGTGGGACTGGGCCAGCCAGCAGAGATTTTGGAAATGAGGCAAGTTTTCATTGTCACTTCATAGGTTAGTTTAAAAAAAAAAAAATAATGAATCTGCAGTAAGGACCCCAGTGTCGCTTTGCAAACCGCCATAGAAAGCTTTTCATTCTGGAATGTGTGGGAGGATTAACAGGACGTAGGCGCTGATTTGGCGTCCAGAAGCCAGAGATTCCAGAGAGCAGAAGTGATCAGAATGCGATTAAGTTAATGCAGAAGGAAGCAAAGTGTATACACAAAAATAGAATGCAAATACGCAAGAGATGCGCCAGTGAGCATCCCAGGGCTGTGCTCAGGGAATTTACCAGGGAAAAGGAAGCAAACCGCAGGCCCAACCCCGGCCTTTGACCTATTTGGATACCTAGGATGCAGTCCGGAAGAGCTCCGCCAGAGTGGAATCAGGATAGGCGGCGTGCGGCCCCACTCCTCTCACACTGACCCCGCCTTTGCCACGCCCCTTTCCGCCCCGCCACGCCCCCTCAGCTGCTCGTTGCCTGGTTGGCCGCAGCGGAGGCGGGGTTCTCCTCGCCCGGAAGTGCGACTGACGTGGCCCGACCGCGCTCGGAATTGTGGGTGACTCCGCTAATGGCGTCGGCGAGTCTGGGGATCCTGAGGAGCCAGCGCTGAAGCTTCTAGTCTGCTTGTCTGGTGACGCCCGGTGTGGCCAGGCCGGGTGGCAGCTTCAGGAAAGACCTGCCCACCTAAAGTGGGCTCGTCCGCCAGCGCTGGCGGTGCCCGGCGGGGCGGGGCGATCGCGGGGCCGCCTCGGACCGGACCGGGGGTGTAGCGCGGAGGCCGCGCGGGGCGAGCCGGCGCGCTTCGGGCTCGCTGCCCAGGCCCCCCCAGGCCCGGCGGAGCCCGGGCGGAACCCGAGAGGCGAGCTGTGGGAAGGGCTGGGGGAGCTCGGTCGCCGCCGGGTCCCTGGAGGAGCTGACAGTGCCAAGGCTTGTGAGTCCGACTCAGACCTTGGAGGATCATGTCCGGCACCAACAGCCCCGAAGCCGTGAAGAAGCTTCTAGAGAACATGCAGAGTGACTTGCGGGCCTTGTCACTGGAGTGCAAGAAGAAATTCCCGCCGGTCAAGGAGGTAAGCTGCGGGCGACTTAACGAGAGAAGGCGCCGGTGCGTCTGCCGCGGTCCTGGTAGAGCCCGTCCTTCGCCGCCGCGAGCCTCCAGTGCCGTCGCAGGTGCCCATTGGCAGGTTCTGAGTCTGTAGGTGGTTGCACAATCGCTGTTTGTGGTTGGCCTTCGAGTCTGGTTTCGTCCACTCTCCTTTCCTCTCTCGATTTAGTTGAAGTTGGCAGAGAGAACCGAGGCAATGAATTCAACCGACGAGTATTATAACACGCTCACCTTTTCAAGCCCTTTTTCAGACTTGAAACTGGCCAAGCCAGAATTGAAAAGCACACACACAAAAAAGTATGTCTGTTTCTTGCTCTTAAAAGTTACCTGTTGCCGTGAAATCTGTGCTTCTCACTCACTTGGAAACATTGCCGCCTTGGTCTGAGTTAACTCAGATTAAGAGCTGTATAGAGATATCAGTCTCAAGAGGGATGAATACAGTTAACCCGTATTACACTTTGTTGTTACGTAGTGGAAATCTGGAAGTTGGAATCAGAGCAAAAACCACTTGAATGTAAGTTCCGGCAATGCATCTTAGCTTCTTGGAGCTCCGGTGTTTGAAAGCTGTTAAATAGGATTGAAGTGTGGTTTTGTAAGGTTATGTGAAAGTTGTCAGAGCAGAAGGTTATTATTAGAGATACTCGAGTTAATAGATACAAATAAAAACTCTAAATACTTCCCTGAGTGATTTTTTTTTAACATTTAATTTCTGAGTCTTTCTCTCCCCCACCCCCTCTTTTTGCCAGCCCCAGGGCTTGAACTCGGCCTGGGCAAGATCCCTGAGCTTTCTTTTGCTTAAGGCTAGCACTCTACCACTTGAGCCACAGCACCACTTCTGGCTTTTTCTGTTTCTGTGGTACTGAAGAATCTAACCCAGGGCTTCCTGCATGCTAGGCAAGCATTCCACCACTAAGCCACCTTCCCAACCCTCTGGATCGTTCTTTTGAGATGCTGTTTTGATTCTAAATTTTATTTTATTTGCAGTTTCCTTTCTCATTTTTTAGAATAAGTTATTTCAGTGATATTACTGTAGAAGAATTTTATTTTTATCTTTACTCTGTTTTAATATGGATAGTTTAGTAATCTCATTTCATTTGCCCTGAAAATTTCACCAAGGAATTTCATAGATTTATACTTAAATACCCTTGTTATTATAATGATTCTATAATTGGAACTTAACTGATAAGGTTTGTATTTTAGGCTTCTAAGGAATCTTAACTTTTCTGTGAGTGCCTTGGTTCAGTCCTCAACAAACACTATCTTGTATTTCCTTTTTTGAGTGTGTGCTGGTTCTGGGACTTGAACTTAGGGTCTGGGCAATATCTCTGAGCTTCTTTTGCTCAAAGCTAGCGCTGTACCACTTGAGCCACAGCTCTACTGGCATTTTCTGTGATTAATAGGAGATAAGAGTCTTATGGATTCTTTTGCCCAGACTGTCTTCTAACCTGGATCCTCAGATCTCAGCCTCCTGAATAGTTACAATTACAAGCGTGAGCCACTGGCACCTGGCTTGTATTTCTTTTTTTTTTTTGTCAGTCGTGGGGCTTGAACTCTGGGCCTGGGCGCTGTCCCTCAGCTCTTCAGCTCAAGGTGAGCGCTCTACCACTTGAGCTACAGCGCCACTTCCGGTTTTCTGGTGGTTTTATTGGAGATAGGAGTCTCACGGTCTTTCCTGCCCAGGCTGGCTTTGAACCGCGATCCTCAGATCTCAGCCTCCTGAGTAGCTAGGATTACAGGCGTGAGCCACCAGCGCCCGGCTGTATTTCTTTAATAAAGTAATCAAATAGTGTCTGATGATGGAAACCAAATGTGCTATTTGGGGGAAAATAGCTAATGTGTATCATTTCAGTTAGTAGTTTGCTTAGAAACTGATTGTCATTTTATCTCTATATTATCTGTTGGTTGAAAGGTATAACAATTTTTAAGAATTCTACTGTTTCAAAGAATCTTTGAGAATTAGGTTATTTTAGATGTAAGAGGAAAATATCAAATTTTATAATTTTAACTATATATTACATACTGTTTCCAATTCTAATAATCCATATTAAAAACCACAGTTCCTCTGTTACAGGCCTTTGTGGGCTAACCTGGGAACTTACTTGCTATTTCTTATTTCTATTGAACAAATTCGTTCAGGGTTCTAAACAAGGCAATTTACAACATTGTAGAGTTCAATCCATTCATAATCCAGAGCTTTTATTAAAGCATATTAGTTTTTACTTGAATACTGGCTAGATAGATATGTTGTAATTGTATCTACTCTTTGCAGTAGTGGAAAAATAATTCTGTGATTGTCACTGATACGTAATTTTGTATGTGGCACATGCTCTGTAAAGATTTGCTGAATTGAGTCTGGAGCTTGTAGCTCACACTTGTAATCCTAGCAACTCAGGAGGCAGAAAGCAGAAGGATTGAGGTTTGAAGCCAACCTAGGTAGAATAGTCTGCAAGACTCCATCTCCAGTTAACCAGTAAAAAAAGATGTGTTCAAACTTGAGTTTTCTTTGGTGTCTTTACTGTGGCTTGAACTCAGGTCCTCACATGTTTAGATCTTAGCTTCCTGAATAGATAGGAATATAGTCATGAGCTACCAGCACTGACCTCTCCAGTAAATTTTAAAAGTAATGCCAATTTTTATATTTATTTTTCTATTTCAGGAACTGATAAGGTTGTGAGTTTCTTTTTGGGTGGTAGGTAGACCTTACTAAGTGTAAAATAACTTTTCTACGTGTAGATAAAGGATATCTTTGCTGGTTTTTTTCCTTTTTTTTTTTTTTGTCGGTCATGGGGCTTGAACTTTGGGCCTGGGCGCTGTCTCTGCACTCTTCAACTCAAGGCGAGCGCTCTACCTCTTGAGCCACAGTGCCACTTCTGGTTTTCTAGTGGTTTATTGGAGATCAGAATCTCATGGACTTTTCTGCCCTGGCTGGCTTTGAATCATGATCCTCAGATCTCAGCCTCCTGAGTAGCTAGGATTACAGGTGTGAGCTACCAGTGCCCACCTAAAGGGTATCTTTACTGTCAACTTTTCTAATATTACCTGAAAAAAGTTAAGTCTGAGCTAGGTATCATGGTGCATGCCTATAATCACCACATTCAGTATAGGAATAGTGAAGTTTGAGGCCAATATGGAGTCCTTAGTGAGACCTTTTCCAGTAAACAAACATAAGCAAGCAACCTCATTTTGGACTACTCATGACCTTAATAATCTAAAAGAGCTCTAATTGTATATCTACTTTGGAAGGCTCGCCTCCTTCCCTGGTACTTTTATTTGTTATTTTATTATTTTTATTTTTAAATATATTTTATTGTTGTTGTAGAGATGTCCCCGGTACTTTTAAAACGAGCTAGAATTAAGTAAAACTTGAAATTTAGTCCTTATTTTAAGTTATAAGTAATTTTTCCTTGTCTTGTAATATGACAGAGAAAAAGAATATTGATAAAAGATAGTGTCTCAACCCTGGGACAACAGATGAATGCTTAACTCATGTGTATGACTACTTAATGATAAAAAAGGAAATAAAAGAATAGGAAAAAAGTGCTTAAGGTCTGAGCACTGGTTCATGCCTATAGTCCTAGCTACTTAGTAAATGGAGATTGGAAGGATCAGGATTCAAGTCCAGCCTAGGCAAAAGTGAAACCCATCAATAAGCAGGGTGTGATGGTGTGAACCTGTCATCCCAACAGTATGGGTGATGTCAAGAGAGATTTGGTAGGTAAAATTATCTGTGCAGGGGAATCTTTCATGTAATGGAGAGAAAAATCTGTTCTGTCTCCTAGGTTTCTGGCTTTGAAAGTAGATGGATCACCAAGAGAAGAAATATAGGAAAAGGCAATAACTGTGGGAGGAATGTCTAGTCTTGAATATATCAAGATTTATGGGTGACATCCAAATGGAACTGACTAGTAAGGTGTTTGAAAAAGTAGTGTATTGCTTAAGAGGGAGCTCTGGAATTTCAGATTCAGATGTAAGGTTTGTATATGATATTAGGAATTATAGGAGTAAGATTATTAGAGTGAGAATATCAGGCTAAAAAAAGGCACTATTAGTACTGGGAAATAGTATTCAAGAGAAATGCTCGGATAGGCAGACTAAAGTTAAAGATAAAGGAGTGAAGGTAAGTACTTACTCGAGCAAGATCTCTGCAAAATCTGGAGTTTTGTATGAACTGGATTTCAATTTGAGGAGGGAAACATCTTCTGATGCTGAAAGGAAAAGGAAAAACGAGTTTGAATGTGAGAAATTTTAAAGAGAGATATGAGAGACTGAAGTTCTGGGCAGTTTGGTCTGTGGCTTTTATTTTCTTTTAGGAAAAAAAGCTTGCTTTTAGAAGTAATTAGTGGTAAAAGAAATGGTGAGTGGAAAGTTAGAGGAGATCAGTGGATCACTTTGGAAAAATACAAGTAAACTAACTTGAAACATGAGTTTTTTTTTTTTTGTTATTGTTTTCTGTTGTTGTTGTTTTGTAGGAAAAGTGATTCAAATGCCAGTGGATTGGTATATTCCCAACCAAGAAATACACTCAATAGTTTCGATTAATCAGAAGATATGGAAAGTATTTAGAGACTACTCAGCAGTGTCTTGTTTACTACAGAGCCATGGGTTTGGAGAATAAAAGATCTACAGAATAGATGTTAGGACAGTAGTAGAGACACTGAATTTCAGATTGTGATGTACAAGAAGATAGTGAAGTCCAGGAAATGGGTAATAAAACAGGGAAGCAGATGAAGGGCATTTGAATGGAGGTGGCAGGTTTAGGTTTTGAATGGATTTCCTTTCTTTTTTAATATCACAGAATGAGTTATGGTATAAATATTTTTTTTAATTCAAACTTCCCGAGCTATGCACTTTGAGTTTTGTGCTGCTTGTTCAAGCCTGATAGAAATGGGTTGGCAGAAGTTTTGCTGAGTTCCTCTGGTGTAGTTCCCCATATTCACTGTGAGGTTTGTTTTTTGTTTTGTTTTG